TTCTCCATTTCCAACCGTTGGGAAGACGCCATGAAGATCTTCACGGGGATGGTTGGCCGGGGGATTTCCCCGAACATTGTGACATTCAACACACTGCTGAATTCTCTGTGCAAACACGGCAGAGTCCGAGAAGCCCAGAAGCTGTTCGATCTAATGGGTACGAGAGGGGAACGGCCCGACGCCTTTTCCTACAACATACTGATGCGTGGCTACTGTCTGATGGGCCTCGTCGAGATCGCGGGGAAAATCCTCGAGGCCATGAGGAGCGCTGGCGTCCAACCGACCACTGACAGTTTTTCTATACTAGTCGATGGGTACTGCAAGAATGGGAGACTTGATGAGGCTACAGAGATATTCAGGGAGATGAAGCGTGAAGGATTGAAGCCTGATATATTCACCTACAGCTGCATGCTGGATGGGCTCTGCAAGGGTGGCAGATTCAGGGACGTCGAGGCTCTCTTAGAAGAGATGGACAAGGTCGGTGTACCCCATAATATCACCAGTTATAATTGTTTGATCAACGGCTTCTGCTCTTCGGGAAAATGGGAAAGAGCTATCGAGCTTTTGAATGAAATGGTTGACAAGGGGATCTCCCCCAATGTTCTCCTATGGAACATACTGATCGATGCCCTCTGCAAGGAAGGGGATGTCAGGAGAGCCCATGAGCTCTTTGACCTGATTATCGAAAGAGGAGAGAAGCCTGATACCGTGTCATATGGCTCACTAATCAACGGGTACTGTTTACTGGGTCAGATGGAGGACGCGTGCAGGCTCCTTGATTGCATGATTCGCAACGGCCCCGAGCCTAATGTCGTCGTCTATTCCATACTGATCAATGGGTACTGTAGAAATGGACAGATCAACAAGGCGATGGTTCTTCTGAAGGAAATGAGGAGCAAAGGCTTACAGCCCAACTGCGCCGCATACAGTTCCTTGATAAAGGGGCTATTCAGGGTTGGAAGAGTTGCTGCCGCCAAGGAAATGTATGATGAGATGCAGGCTCATGGTCTGGCCCCAAATTTCTGCACTTGGCAGACCCGACAGGGATGGAGCACGGCAAGGCTTAGGTCCCGTCGGACTCGATCGGAGTGAGATAGGAGGCGGTCGCCGACACCAGAGGACTTCGGCTGTGAAGAGGAGTCGAGTGGCCAGTAAAAGAGGAGGTCGGAGGAACCTCATGAAGAACTCCGTGTGGAGTGGAGACTCGCCATCTCGCATCAGCGACCCCAAGACTGGAGAGGTCTTGGTGATTGTATTCCCTCTCTCTAGGTTTTTATTTTCGTTGAGCGGTCTCGCTCTCTCTCTCTCTCTCTCTCTCTCTCTCTCTCTCTCCAATCTCTCAGCCGTTCACGGCCCAGAGTTTGTACGAGACAGGTTTATTTATTAAACCAGTTCGTGTTTTGACGCCTCCGTCCAAGGGTTGTCATCACATACCATTGCCTCGTCTTGCACACCTTTGCAGGCCTATCGCCATGCTGACCATTCCACCGTCCTCAATTCCCAGGAGCCACTGTGGGGACCTCCGGAGCTCTTTTGTGTGCGCCATGCATGCATTTGCACGTGCCATGTTGGCTTATGCTGCACACTACCACTACACTTCTTATACATGCGGCTTCTCTGTGTGCCGTGACACATAATTGTCATGTGCTCCACATGGATTTTCGCATACTCTCATACCACAATCAAAATTCATTCCCAGACATAGGATTTAATAAAGGTAGGGGTGACACATCCTCTCTCCCATGTCATGAATTCAATGTCATTGCTTAGGGATTTTCCTATAGGAACTTATTGATGAGGCTATCAGACTACCATAGGTCGACATTGTGCTATTGTCACATTTTTTGTCAGACTTTGCTTCCACTTGACCATGCAGTACATGTGATGATTTGAGTGAAATCGCCCTCCTTCATTGATTTACTTGTACCTATACCTAGCCTTGGCCTACATGATGTAGCTTCACACCATTAGTGGTGCCCATTGAAGACAATGTGTTATTATGCCTGATACATCTTCAACATCAAAATATAAAAGACTAGATAGATTGCCAATCTTCTTGGCAGTAGGCTATTTTGCTTATGCGTGCCACAATCTCAACATGTCTATCAAACAAAGGTACCAGGGATATTCTGGTAGACTAGTAATGTTGTCTTGTAGAACGTAACATTGACTTGGAACAAGATTTTGTCCCTAACATTATACTCTAGAGCTTCTCATTGAAGGTCCCTCACATGCCTCTAGTACATGCTCCTATCATACATGTGTGCACTAGTATACAATTAGATCCGTCCGCCCACTTACATGTGTTTCCATGTCCTTGTGGAAGGTCTCTTAGGGCTCTCCTCTCCCTCTCTCCTATTGAGTCTTCTATCTCCCTTGACTCTTCCCTGTCTTTATAAGTCATAATGAGCTACAGTGTTACCACCCCATCGTGATATCCCTTCTTCTTCCTTCAAAATCGAATGGTACAGAAGCTTCCATCTCCTATCTATAGTATCATGACATCACCTCTACGTCACCTATCCGACCACTTTTTCTCTCTCTCTCTCTCTCTCTATAGAGGACTATTGTCCAAGAAGGGGTATCATCTCACATTATCACTGTATTATCCCACCTACCAGGATATTCTGTCCCTCAGCCTATACTCCTAACCTGGGCTCTATGGCCATCGTTTCCTTCCTACATTGACTTCATCGATTGGTAAATATGATACATCAATATGTACTTTAAAAAGTCATTTAAAGTATGACAACCAATAGGACCAATTCGGTAATGATTTTGTCTTTGAGTTGATCAAAATCTCTTTCTCATTTTCCTATCGAATACATTTTACTTCTTTATTCAATAGATCATCTAAGGGTGTTGTCAATTGTGAATATCATTGGACAAATTTGTACTTGTAGTTGTCTAAATTAAGGAAGGACTGAAACTCTTAGACCTTTCTCAATGCAGACTATTTATTGATGTCACAAATCTTTGATGGGTCCATCTACACAAAATCTCTCCCTACAATGTAGTCAAGGAAAGCTGTTTATTCTAGCACAAAGTCGCACTCCGTGGGGTTGAGGAATAGTTGATGTGTCAATAACTTGTTGAACACTTCCCAAGGATGTTTTTTATGTTCTTCTAAATACTTCTTTAAATGTCATCCAAGTACCTACAACAAAGAGATCGGTTTATTTATGAAACATTACATTAACTATTATGAAAAGGGTTGCGAATATATTTGAGAGTTAGAATATATCTAATTTTCTTAAGATTAGGAACCCTTCCTATTACCAAGTTCCACGAGCCTCAAATCACTATATCTAGAACCCTAAGAACTAATAGTCTTCGATGTCCTCATCGCAAGCATGCCATATGTGCATCAAAGCCCTATATAATCGTATTATTAATACGGTATAAATTTCTCAACTAGTCCACATATCACAAATCACAATAAGAATAGGTAATCAATATAGAACGAAGTTATCAACATCTTCAACTTTCATTTGATCTGTCATAAGTTGTTCAAAATTTCGAGAAGAATAGATTGATAAAAGTGTTTCATTTTTTTGTTGGCCTACATAACTCTCTTGAATTCATTTAATGTTGTTCATAGATCTTCGAGTTCTGAAAAGAGGTGGCGAAAAAAGAAAGCCCGTCGAAGCATCCCTAATCTTCGTAGATGAGATGTATAAACGTGAGGGTTATGGAGTAGGCTGAAGTGGGTGCCTAGTGTACTGGTCAGTAAACGCACACAAAGCCATTGAGGTGCTATGCAAAGCAGATTGATTCTAGGTGAGCAAACCAAATGTCTATGAAGCATCAAGATGGTAGAGAACAAGTGTGCACAGAAGCCTTGGTTGGTCCCTTTTTCCCCGGCTTGGGATTCAAAAACTGAGTCCAAGAATTGACAAGTTCAGACCGAGTCTTAGTTTATATGTGCAGAGAATCCCTGATTGGTCCTGTTTCCCGTGCTTGGTCCAAGAATTGACTAAGCCCGGCCCTTCCTGCTCCCTGTCCGAACCGAGTCTTAGTTTTATCTTATCCCCACGTGGCACCCCACACAGACCTCCAACGTTTCACACTGTGTGCACCAGTCTTCTGTGCTCACCCTCCTCTAGTGATTGCCCAAGTGCACCATCGACCTTCACGTGTACTCGAATGCCCCACTTTTGAGGGCTCGCCAACGTTGAAGTGGGAAACCGCTACACGGCATCCTGCATTAATCCCGTTGACAAACGTGGCTGGGTTGAGAAACCACCTCCTTGTCTCCCTTCCCCCCCGGCGTAGACCAAAAACTAATGGAACGGCCAGAAGAGGGAGGTCCCGATGATCATCTAATGGTAGGCGGAGGCTTCGTCTGAGGAGGATGGACGTGAATGGCTGCTCCATACGTATAGGCCCAGGGGTCCAAATGAGATCACGTCAGATGGTTCCTTAGCAACAGCAGGCGAGTCACAGCATTGGCCTACTGAAGCCTCAAAGACCTCTTCAAAGTCCGGATCTGATATCCCCCGCCGTCAGCATATGTCCCCAACACCCTCAGAGAGAGAGAGCGAGAGAGAGTAAGAGAGATGGAAATTTGGGAGGGTGATTGATAATAGGCTGCCTTGTGCGCCGATTCACTGCGGGTGGCATTCGTGGTATCTCTTAGAATGGTCGTTGGATCACGCGGGGAATTCATTGACTGTCCGATTCATCACAGAATGAGGAACTGCTCTGCTGAAGATCATATCGCGCCAACGGCGGAGCTCCGCGCGGAGGCCACCGTCAATCAGTCTGTGCACGTCTTCTCAGAGAAGATAAGGCTATTGCTCTTCTGCTCTACCCTGTCTACCCCTCTCTCTCTCCCTCTCGCTCTCTGCGTTAATGAGAAGGGCACTTCCCAACCACTTTGCCCGACTCTAAGAGAGTTCGGAGCTTGCCCTCCACAGTGCCCGGTTCACTATAAACAGGGCAGCGCATCAGCGTCTTCTCGGCACCTCATCCTCCTCTCCCTCTTCTTCTCCGTCGGGATGGCTTCCAAGGCTTTGCCCCTGATGGCCTTCCTCCTGATCGCCATGCTCCTAGTCTCCGCCGTCGTCGACGCCACGGAAACCTTGGACACGGAAACAGGTTCGTTCTCCCCTCCCCCCAGCATCGCTGTTGTCCCCATGCTGCTGAGACTCCAAGTTTGAGGAGCTCCCAAAGTTTCTCACGCTAACGCAGAGACTTTTTCATTCCCATGCAGAGACCTCCGTCGACCAAAGCGGCTACTACCCGAACCGACCATATTGCCGCTACCGCTGCTGCTATAGGTACCGCTACTACTATAGGTACGGCTATAGGTACCGCTACTACTGTCGATGCTGCGGCAAGGAGCAGTACGAGGCTACCACGGGGAAGGACGACTGAGAAGACGGCATTCGGTCTGCGGCAGCTGGGCCTGCCGGAGGACCGCCGGAACAGGGCGGCGCCTCCGCGCTCGACGGCGGCGCAGGGCCCCTCTTCCCCTTAAATAAGGCGACGCCCCATAGAGGGCGCGCATGCACGTTATAGTACTGTAACGTTGACTTTTTAAAGTTGTCGGGTGTGAACTTGCTTGCTTATTATATGATGAATGGTAACAAGGTTGTCGGCTTGAAGGGTGTCAACGGGTGGGACCGGCCTTCGCTGCGTCCACGCCCGCCTCCGCCACCGCCCCCGAACGTACTCACGTGCGAGTTCTTAAAGCAGATCAGAGAGAGAGAGAGAAGATAATGGAACGTGCGTTATAGAGGATGGGTCTCACCCTAGGCTCTAGATGGACGAATTTTTCTTATAAAGCCATAAATGAGACCAGAAGATTTTTTATTTTTTCCAGTTTGACTTTTCTAAATTCTATAAAAATATATTATTGGATATGACTTTTAAAAGAGTCAAAAAACAATACATTGACGAATTTATGTTATTGACTCACATGTTTGATAATTTTGTGTACACTTTGCATGGTGCTTCGTGTTTGACCCATAAGATGCAATATATTTTAATAATGTTTTAATAGGTTTTTCTGTGGTTGATAAACTTACTGCTGGCTGTGCAACATGGAGTCCTCAAAGAAGGCATCTTCATCAAAAAAAAATTATTAAAAAATAATTGCCTTTATAATTAAATAATGATCTAGAATATTCACTTACTTGTATGTTTAATAGAGCCCACATAATATATCTTTAAAGCGTTGTAGTAATTTGATGACTATTTGGACATGGAAATATATCAACCAAACTGTTGACTTTTGAAGGCTATTTACTTCAAACAGAAAAACAAGATATTACTTCAAAATATTTTAGTGGGGATGAAAAATCATAATGAATACAACGATTTTCATTGTAGAAATTCCACAGCTTCACATTTATAAAAGATTAATTTTATCGTTAATTAATAGCCTTTGATGACATATTTGGAGACCCAAATAAAAAAATCTAGATTAGCATTAGATTGCAATAATAAAACCTGCTTTTGCAGGCCAAGATATTATTTAAATTTCTTTTTCGGAAAGATGGCAACTTTGGAGAGTCACCTTTTGATTATAGTTCGGAGATGATGATGCAATTAATTCCTAGCCAAGTGTTACGGTGAGCACTTTCCCGAACATTCTCAAGAATATCGAGCCAAGTAATATCGAGCATGGCGCAGCATTAGTGGTAATTGCCCGAAGCCAACGTGTGAGAGTCAATGTTTACCCCTGGACGCCTTCCTCAGTCGGAGGTGGGCGCAATCCGCCGGCGCGAGAGAGACTGTGTTCTTCACGAGATCATATCCTACATGGAAATTCTGCTGGGCGAGGAACCCGAAGATGGCGAAGGCCGGGCTGGGTGACGGCAGGACGGAGAGGCACACCACGCCGTCCTCCGACGTCACGAAGATGTTCGCCGGCTTCAGCGCCACCTTCCCGCCGCCGAACCCGAAGACGACTTCCGGAAACGCCGCCGTCGCCGCCGACGTTGACCCAACCCGATAGCAGAGCTCGAACTGTCCCTCCGGATCGTGGACCCGTGGGGCCGGGATCTTCGTCGATAGCGCCGCCACCAAGGCGTTGACCACGCCGTCGGGCAGAAACGTGACGGCGGTGCCGGAGTCGATGATGATATCTACCTCCGCCGGAATTCTGACCGCCTCGACAGTGACCTCATGCAGGGATAGGTAGTAGAAGGAGGATGAAAACCCGTTTGGGGAGACGATGGGGGTGGTGACTACGTTGGCGCCGTCCACTGCCGCCGCCGACCCGAGGTTGAAGTAGCTGGCGGCGCGGCTGTCCGTGATGGGTGCCAAGCAGTAGGAGAACTTCCCGCCAGCAGCGCCGCCCAGTTGAGAGATGAGGGACAGCGGGCCCCTCCCGAGACCGAGGATGCCGGCATTGAAGGCTCCCCCCACCCTGTGGCTGCACCCGAAGACCACCTTCGGGAAGGAGACATTGCGGCCGCCGGTGGAGCTGAAGATAAACGTCTCGCGGGAGAGGACGCCGGCGGAGGAGGACCCATCGCCGTAGGAAAGCGCGTAGTCGCAGTTGTGGCGGAGCCCGCAGCGGGCCATGGTCTCCAGTACCGTGCAGGGCCGAGAGTCGCACCGGAGGTGCTTGTAGGAGGAGGATTTCCGAGGGTTGAAGCCCTCGCCGGTGCAATTGCGGCAGGAGGCGCATTTCGTCCAGATGAGATCGCTGCCGGTGTCGGGGACGACGAGGACGGTCGCCGGCGGAGTTCCCAGTGAGATCTCCATGAGGTACTCGAAGGTGGCGGGGGCGAGCTTCGCCGTCAGGGAGACCGTCGACTCACGCGAGGGGTCGTACCCCTTCGCGAGTGAGGCCCAGTACCTTACGCGCTCACCGGAGCGGCGCACGGCGGATCTCACCTTCTCCGACGTCGTCATGGAGTCATCGAGTGAGTCACCGCGGAGGAGCTCGGCGCCTATGCTGTGACCCCTGTCGGCGGCGCAGGGGAGGACGATGAAGGGGGCCAGCGTAGAGCAGAAGAAGAAGAAGAAGAAGAAGACGAGGAGCACGGCCGCCGGCTGAGGAGATGCCATCTTCTCCGACGACGGCGGAGAATTTGATCCGCCGCTCCGGCGAGCCGCCACATTTTATAGCGAGCTTTTGGCCGCGTCAGTTGACAAGATTCTGTTGCCACGGCCGTCGCACCGACGAGGACAGCTGCCGGATCTCCCCGTACATCGCTATTTCTGTCCATTTCCTCTATCCTTCCGTTTGTACGGTTAGCCTCCTCTCTTGCTGGCATCAGCTTCACTTTCGCCATAGACAAACAGACATCATGCGCTGCCGACAACCCGTTGACTTCTCCTAGCCCTGAAACCTCTGCGTCAACTATCCTACGTGGATACTTCTCCAGACAGATACCCCCGCGCTAGCCTTCCAGCTTGGCCCTCTGCCGCATGGAGGCTCTGGTAGCTCAGAGGATGCTCTCGAGTGGAATGTAGATGGAGGCCGACGTGATGGAGGCGGCGGAAAGAGGCGATGGGGGAGCTGCTGCCGGTGAAGGAGACGGACGAGGAAGGAGATGGAAAGGACTGGGGAATCTCTTTGTCTCGTCGATCTCGCAGTCTATAGGCAGTCAATCCTCCTCCAAGCTCTCCTCCATGGCGGATCGTGGTCTCTGCCATTGTTTCATCTCGAGCTGATTAGGTTTTCCATGCGGAAGCTTTGAATTCCGTGGGTGCGCCGGTCGAGGACGGCCATGGTCCCCGCGATTCGAACCATAAATCCCTCTGTACGGCCGCCGTCTGCCCCGCTACCCTTCCTGCGTCATCGTTGTCATCATGGTGATCACGTCCGGGGCTATGTCTGTAAGATAAGTTTAGTTCCAAGGATCCACAGAAGCCGTTCGATAAATTGCTCGACCGCGGCGGCTGCTACCACCGCCTATCTCCGCTCTCAACACTGTCTTCTCTGCTCTAGCGAGGACAAAACACTATGCTTGTGCGCTCTCTTTGTACAGCAGATTCCTCTAGGTTAACTGTGTGGCTGTCTCTCGTAACGTGAGAATGCTCAGCCTCATCGTCAACTGCTGCACACAGTTGGGCTCTGTGGGCATTGGCTTTGAGGTATTCAGTACCATACTTAAGTTTGGTTTTTAATAAGTCTCCATTATCATGAATTAGTAATTAATTAATAATGTATTTTACATATTAACTCATACTAAATAATTTTATATTTATATTAAATCAAGAAAATAGGTTTTTATGTGAACAATATAGATTTTTAGTTAATTATGTAATTTTATATGATTTATATTTTTAAGTTAAAATAAATAAATAATATAAAAATAAAGATGACCCACTAACTAGGTGGCACTCAGCAATTGACCCCGAGGGTGCCACACATGAGTGGGAAGCACAAACAAGGGAGCCACGAATTAGGCTCAAGTGGCTAAGGAACCCACTTAAAGCATGTGTATGTCACTCTTCTTCACCAAGGGCTAACCAAGTGTGGGGCAAGGTATGATCTCATCACATGTGTGTATGTGGGGCACACCACCTGGTTTTGTGGGGCCCTCTCCTTAGGTGGTCTTGACTATTTTATTTATATAAGAGAAAACTATGGAAGGAGGGCACAATTATATTCTTCTCAAACTTCTAGATAAAATCAATGTGGGACTAAAATGTAGACATGACACTTTGACAAAATAATATCGAAAAATACCTCCACATTAAGAGAAGGTAACGTGGTCATTAGCTTACTACTTCAAGGGTATTTTAGTAATTAGCTAATCATCTCTCAGCTACATGATGAGCAAAGTTTTTAATCTTACAAACACCAAAATTCATTATCTATTCTATTTTAACTCCACGATTTTCTTATAGAATACTAGTCAATAATTAAGTTGGGAGTGCTCAATCATCAATGAAATATTCGTAAATGACAATTGCAGATCATTGTTAGCAATTGACCAAATATTTCAGATATAAAAATTATGAATTCTTTCAGGAAATCATCTCTAGTTGATTGATGAATGCATCATCGTTGAGAACATGATCGTTTGTCAAAAGACTAATTGTAGCCTCTTCATAACATTCCAAATATAATATGAGACTCCTTTTGCTATGCAAATCTGAAGAAGAAGCTCCTTAAGACGTGCTTTGCCTCCATCCAACTCAGCTTCATCGAGTGATAGTTGTTAGATGCCTATCATCGCCAAACTTCCACTCCACTATGTGACCATTGTTGGAGATACTTCATCAACCTCTATCTTCATCTTCTAGATTTTGCATGAGAAGTTAGAGAGTGTCCACGTTGTGCACATCTAAGAACAACCTTCAAGATCATAAATGTTGTTCATAGATCTTCTTGAACATCCAAATTTCAGCAATTGCCATCACGACATTGAAACATTATTTTATGTGGTTTAAACTTGAGTAATCTTTAAACTAATGATAGTTTTCATAAATTTAAGTTGCCATAATCTTTGTTAGTCTCATATAATTCATTTGGCATTTACATACCTCAATTTCATCAACTAATCACATGTAATTATTTATCTAATAATTATTTGTAAAAAATTGTATTCTTTGAAAAATATTAAAATTTTACTTGATATCATCTTACATCACTATGATCAACTTGAAAATTTCAGATTATTTTATTGAAATATAATTAATATATTCATTCAGAAAAACTTCTAAACATCTAAAAAATTAGTATTTATTAGAAGAAGCTCCTTAAGACGTGCTTTGCCTCCATCCAACTCAGCTTCATCGAGTGATAGTTGTTAGATGCCTATCATCGCCAAACTTCCACTCCACTATGTGACCATTGTTGGAGATACTTCATCAACCTCTATCTTCATCTTCTAGATTTTGCATGAGAAGTTAGAGAGTGTCCACGTTGTGCACATCTAAGAACAACCTTCAAGATCATAAATGTTGTTCATAGATCTTCTTGAACATCCAAATTTCAGCAATTGCCATCACGACATTGAAACATTATTTTATGTGGTTTAAACTTGAGTAATCTTTAAACTAATGATAGTTTTCATAAATTTAAGTTCCCATAATCTTTGTTAGTCTCATATAATTCATTTGGCATTTACATACCTCAATTTCATCAACTAATCACATGTAATTATTTATCTAATAATTATTTGTAAAAAATTGTATTCTTTGAAAAATATTAAAATTTTACTTGATATCATCTTACATCACTATGATCAACTTGAAAATTTCAGATTATTTTATTGAAATATAATTAATATATTCATTCAGAAAAACTTCTAAACATCTAAAAAATTAGTATTTATTAGAAGAAGCTCCTTAAGACGTGCTTTGCCTCCATCCAACTCAGCTTCATCGAGTGATAGTTGTTAGATGCCTATCATCGCCAAACTTCCACTCCACTATGTGACCATTGTTGGAGATACTTCATCAACCTCTATCTTCATCTTCTAGATTTTGCATGAGAAGTTAGAGAGTGTCCACGTTGTGCACATCTAAGAACAACCTTCAAGATCATAAATGTTGTTCATAGATCTTCTTGAACATCCAAATTTCAGCAATTGCCATCACGACATTGAAACATTATTTTATGTGGTTTAAACTTGAGTAATCTTTAAACTAATGATAGTTTTCATAAATTTAAGTTCCCATAATCTTTGTTAGTCTCATATAATTCATTTGGCATTTACATACCTCAATTTCATCAACTAATCACATGTAATTATTTATCTAATAATTATTTGTAAAAAATTGTATTCTTTGAAAAATATTAAAATTTTACTTGATATCATCTTACATCACTATGATCAACTTGAAAATTTCAGATTATTTTATTGAAATATAATTAATATATTCATTCAGAAAAACTTCTAAACATCTAAAAAATTAGTATTTATTAGTTTTATAAATTTTAAACATATGTAATTTATTATATAGCAATTAATAAGCCACTTCACTCTACAACCACGTACGCGGACATTAAACAATCTCATCAATGCCCTGTGAGTAGAGGGGTAGGCTGGTGGAGCAAAAAGGATGGCCAAGATGGGCTACATTGCAGACGTCATAACCTATTTATATAATGATCAAGGGGATCTGCACAACAGGGAAAACCGGCATGACTCTCGAGCTCCTCAAGTCCATGAGGGCGGAGGATAGTTTTTCCGAACCTGATATCGTCGCCTACAGCACGGTCATCAACTACTTGTGCAGAGAGGGAGATGTTGACAAGGCTGTGGAGCTACTCGAGGAGATGGCTGCGAGGGGGACCTCCCCTAGTTTGATCACATACAACTTCATCATCCATTCATTCTCCATTTCCAACCGTTGGGAAGACGCCATGAAGATCTTCACGGGGATGGTTGGCCGGGGGATTTCCCCGAACATTGTGACATTCAACACACTGCTGAATTCTCTGTGCAAACACGGCAGAGTCCGAGAAGCCCAGAAGCTGTTCGATCTAATGGGTACGAGAGGGGAACGGCCCGACGCCTTTTCCTACAACATACTGATGCGTGGCTACTGTCTGATGGGCCTCGTCGAGATCGCGGGGAAAATCCTCGAGGCCATGAGGAGCGCTGGCGTCCAACCGACCACTGACAGTTTTTCTATACTAGTCGATGGGTACTGCAAGAATGGGAGACTTGATGAGGCTACAGAGATATTCAGGGAGATGAAGCGTGAAGGATTGAAGCCTGATATATTCACCTACAGCTGCATGCTGGATGGGCTCTGCAAGGGTGGCAGATTCAGGGACGTCGAGGCTCTCTTAGAAGAGATGGACAAGGTCGGTGTACCCCATAATATCACCAGTTATAATTGTTTGATCAACGGCTTCTGCTCTTCGGGAAAATGGGAAAGAGCTATCCAGGTTTTGAATGAAATGGTTGCCAAGGGGATCTCCCCCAATGTTCTCCTATGGAACATACTGATCGATGCCCTCTGCAAGGAAGGGGATGTCAGGAGAGCCCATGAGCTCTTTGACCTGATTATCGAAAGAGGAGAGAAGCCTGATACCGTGTCATATGGCTCACTAATCAACGGGTACTGTTTACTGGGTCAGATGGAGGACGCGTGCAGGCTCCTTGATTGCATGATTCGCAACGGCCCCGAGCCTAATGTCGTCGTCTATTCCATATTGATCAATGGGTACTGTAGAAATGGACAGATCAACAAGGCGATGGGTCTTCTGAAGGAAATGAGGAGCAAAGGCTTACAGCCCAACTGCGCCGCATACAATTCCTTGATAAAGGGGCTATTCAGGGTTGGAAGAGTTGCTGCCGCCAAGGAAATGTATGATGAGATGCAGGCTCATGGTCTGGCCCCAAATTTCTGCACTTGGCAGACCCGACAGGGATGGAGCACGGCAAGGCTTAGGTCCCGTCGGACTCGATCGGAGTGAGATAGGAGGCGGTCGCCGACACCAGAGGACTTCGGCTGTGAAGAGGAGTCGAGTGGCCAGTAAAAGAGGAGGTCGGAGGAACCTCATGAAGAACTCCGTGTGGAGTGGAGACTCGCCATCTCGCATCAGCGACCCCAAGACTGGAGAGGTCTTGGTGATTGTATTCCCTCTCTCTAGGTTTTTATTTTCGTTGAGCGGTCTCGCTCTCTCTCTCTCTCTCTCTCTCTCTCTCTCTCTCTCCAATCTCTCAGCCGTTCACGGCCCAGAGTTTGTACGAGACAGGTTTATTTATTAAACCAGTTCGTGTTTTGACGCCTCCGTCCAAGGGTTGTCATCACATACCATTGCCTCGTCTTGCACACCTTTGCAGGCCTATCGCCATGCTGACCATTCCACCGTCCTCAATTCCCAGGAGCCACTGTGGGGACCTCCGGAGCTCTTTTGTGTGCGCCATGCATGCATTTGCACGTGCCATGTTGGCTTATGCTGCACACTACCACTACACTTCTTATACATGCGGCTTCTCTGTGTGCCGTGACACATAATTGTCATGTGCTCCACATGGATTTTCGCATACTCTCATACCAACAATCAAAATTCATTCCCAGACATAGGATTTAATAAAGGTAGGGGTGACACATCCTCTCTCCCATGTCATGAATTCAATGTCATTGCTTAGGGATTTTCCTATAGGAACTTATTGATGAGGCTATCAGACTACCATAGGTCGACATTGTGCTATTGTCACATTTTTTGTCAGACTTTGCTTCCACTTGACCATGCAGTACATGTGATGATTTGAGTGAAATCGCCCTCCTTCATTGATTTACTTGTACCTATACCTAGCCTTGGCCTACATGATGTAGCTTCACACCATTAGTGGTGCCCATTGAAGACAATGTGTTATTATGCCTGATACATCTTCAACATCAAAATATAAAAGACTAGATAGATTGCCAATCTTCTTGGCAGTAGGCTATTTTGCTTATGCGTGCCACAATCTCAACATGTCTATCAAACAAAGGTACCAGGGATATTCTGGTAGACTAGTAATGTTGTCTTGTAGAACGTAACATTGACTTGGAACAAGATTTTGTCCCTAACATTATACTCTAGAGCTTCTCATTGAAGGTCCCTCACATGCCTCTAGTACATGCTCCTATCATACATGTGTGCACTAGTATACAATTAGATCCGTCCGCCCACTTACATGTGTTTCCATGTCCTTGTGGAAGGTCTCTTAGGGCTCTCCTCTCCCTCTCTCCTATTGAGTCTTCTATCTCCCTTGACTCTTCCCTGTCTTTATAAGTCATAATGAGCTACAGTGTTACCACCCCATCGTGATATCCCTTCTTCTTCCTTCAAAATCGAATGGTACAGAAGCTTCCATCTCCTATCTATAGTATCATGACATCACCTCTACGTCACCTATCCGACCACTTTTTCTCTCTCTCTCTCTCTCT